GTCAGGACCGAGGCGGCCACGGAGCCGCCCCGAGGCGGGGTCCCGCTGTCCCTGCGCCCGGCTTCGGCATCCCCCGGGGGGGGGGCAAGGACGGCCCCACGGCCCAGGACTCGCCATCGCTCGGACGTCCATTCACTGTGTTTTTGTTCGGTTTCGTGCGTGGCTTTTTCGCCAAATGATCAAGGATGCTCCTCGATGGTCCCCGCCGAAGAAAAAATGCACAGGTCCGAGCGATGCCAAGAGGACCTCCATGGGCCCGCTGGTGGCGCCCCTGGGCCCGAGAAAGTGTGGCATCCCGTGGAGCCGCATCGCTTCCTTCTGCCGGTCTGCGCTGGGGGAGCCGCCCTCTGTCTGCGTCCCTCTGCGGGCCAATCGCCACCCACCGCCGAAGACTCGGGAGCGGCCAAGAGGGGGGGGTCCAAGAGGGGGGGGTGCCAATCATGGCCGGCGGCATGTGCGCGGCCCAGCGGGGGGGGCCAGGGACGTAATGAAATAAGAAGAGGCGCCATGAAATCTGAGGAAACATCATGGCCCACGCCATGATATCCCCCCCCCCCCTAGTCATCACCCCCCTCTTTTCCGCCCCCGAAAGAAGGAGGTCATACTCTCGACTCCCTGGCAGCGAAGAACATGTTTGGAGCACTCTACTGCGGACACCGCGCCCTTCCAAGGCCCCTTGACGACTTCCGACGCCGCCGGGCCCTCCCGGTGAGCCTCCTAAATTATGTCAAAGCAGAACCAAAAACTGGGACCACGTGTTATTCCACATCTTCGCGCTGCCGACCTGGGATGTCCGCCAGAACACGTCTCTATCATGTCACCACTACGCGAGTCAGGCCTTCGCCAGGCACCCCAGAAACGCCGCGCAAAGCGACCTGCAGCAAGCGCACCCATGTGCAGTGAAGTGAAGATTGGAGCAGTGACCCAGACGGCCTTCTGTAACCAGCCTCGAACTTATCCCTATCCCTGAGATTGACACGCCAAGAGGCGATGACAATCTTAGGGATGCACCCTCAGAAACTAAGGGAATCCCTCAGATCGCCACCGTGACGAGGCGATGCCCAACATAGGGATAGGGATAGGTTCCAGGCTGGTAATTCTGGGCGCTCGGGACAAAAGGTCGGCGAAAAAACGTGCGGGCGGCAGCGCGGCGTGGGTCGCGACGCAAAATGAGAGTATGCCGCGTTCCGCGCAGCAGCACGTGACCACCGTGGGAGCGCTCTCTGGCGAAACGCTTACTTGGGAAAGGCGTGCGGTAAGAAGTCGGGCCCTCGGCTGGCGGATGACGGGAAGCGCGCCAAGACTCGAGGAGTCGCGCAATGGACGTTTTGGTGCCTGGAGGGATTGTATCAACTGGGGGGGGGTCTGGGGGGGCAACGCGCGTTATGCACTCGTTATTCGGGACCTGGCGGATGACGGGAAGCACGCTAAGACTCGAAGAGTCGCGCGATAGACGTTTGCGTGCCCAGAGGAGTTTTGTCAACTGGGGGGGTCTGGAGGGGGAACGCGCTTTGGGCACTCGTGATTCGGGACCTGGCGGATGACGGAAGCGCGCATAGACACGAAGAGTCGCGCGATGGACGTTGGTGTAGGCCCGGAGGGAAATATTCTCAACTGAAGGGAGTCTGAGGGGGGAAGGGCTCGGGATACCTCTTTTATCAAGGCCCAGCGGATGACAGGAAGCGCGCATAGACTCGAAGAGTCGCGCGATGGACGTTGCTGTGGGCCCGGAGGGAAATATTTTCAACTGGGGGGAGTCTGAGGGGGGAAGGGCTCGGGATGACAGGAAGCGCGCTTAGACTCGAAGAGCCGCGCGATGGACGTTCGTTACCGGCCCGGAGGGGAAAACATCTATCAAATAGGCGGGTCCAGGGGGGGTGTGGCGGCGGGGTCGGGTCTTGATCGGGACGTGTCGGATGACGGGAAGCGCGCTTAGACTCGAAGAGTCGCGCGATGGACGTTGGTTCTCTGCCTGGAGAGGGAAACATTTATCAAGTGGGGGGGTCCAGGGGGGGGAGTGGTGGCGGGGTCGGGTCTTGACCGGGACGTGTCGGATGACGGGAAGCGCGCTTAGACTCGAAGAGTCGCGCGATGGACGTTGCTGTGGGCCCGGAGGGAAATATTTTCAACTGGGGGGAGTCTGAGGGGGGAAGGGCTCGGGATGACAGGAAGCGCGCTTAGACTCGAAGAGCCGCGCGATGGACGTTCGTTACCGGCCCGGAGGGGAAAACATCTATCAAATAGGCGGGTCCAGGGGGGGTGTGGCGGCGGGGTCGGGTCTTGATCGGGACGTGTCGGATGACGGGAAGCGCGCTTAGACTCGAAGAGTCGCGCGATGGACGTTGGTTCTCTGCCTGGAGAGGGAAACATTTATCAAGTGGGGGGGTCCAGGGGGGGGAGTGGTGGCGGGGTCGGGTCTTGACCGGGACGTGTCGGATGACGGGAAGCGCGCTTAGACTCGAAGATTCGCGCGATGGACGTTGATTCACGGCCCAGAGGG